AGCAAAAAATATATAAATGTAAAAACTTTACTGCTAGTTCTTAGAATTGTAAATTCGTAACTTGCATCAGGAGAAAATCTCGAAAGCAAAGTGTAATTTCAGAATGTATTCTTTAAAATCAAATTAAGACTCATGAAAATTGAACTTTTTTTTTATTGTCTAACCAGATTCAAGTTTTAAGGTGTACATTCTAGAATCTAGAAAAACCGATTTAATTTGTGTCGTGCAACCCGAGTGGTGTGAGTTCGATGAGGGGATGGATCACCCGCGGATAATTATTAGGAATTATTATTTCTCAAGGAGAATCGATTCCTTAGTTAATTTAATATTTTATTAAATAAATGAAGACATCGTTCGATCTCGAAGCTATCGGGTGCATATGAAGCACAAGGAACTGACTTAATGTATCGTCGAATTACTGACGGACCTGGAGGGAATGAATTCACGAGTGTTTATTGTATGAAAACCATATCCGTGAAAATCGTATCCTCATGTTATTCAGATCAACGGAGCAATTTCTTAATGGTATTTTTGAGGCATAACATTTGTCTCTCTTCTTTCTCTCGCGAGCGCTTGACCCTTGTGATTTTTAGTTGTGACCGCTCTTTCGGACACTTTTTTGTTAATCATATATCTGCCTTACATTCTTTGTATATTTTTTACTCGTATCACTTCCATGAATCGCCCGCCCCTCTCCACAACATCACATTGTCAAAAATTTATCGGAACAATTTGTCATTTATGCACAGAGAAAAAAAAATCTTTTGCCAAGAATATTTACTAACCACAAGAAAATATATTTGGCAGTAGTATATCTTATTAGTCCAGGCAATTTAGGTCTAACATATATGTGTTTCATAAAGCCAAGACGCTTTTTATGTAGAAATGTGTGTTTTGATTGTGTGATTAATGGGCAAGTAATTTTAAGTGATCAAAGTTTGTGCAATCCGAGAAAAAAATTAAGAACTACACTCAAAAATGGTTTTTCGCGATTAACTTGCAAAGTACACTAGATACAGAAAAAGAGGTTGAATATAATTTGAAGAGCAAAATATTTCCGATAAAAAATATATGATGCACTTCATCCCTATTTTGTACCGTTCAACCCCTACAGCCGTTCAAATGTACGATAGGAGAAAAAAATTGATAAAAAATGGAAAAAATTTCATTTTTCAATTTCAAATAATGGTAAAAAAATATTAAAAAATCTGAGTCATTATATTTTCATAGCAATATAATTTAATTGAACGAATTACTATGAAATAGGAAGGGTAACTTCTAATCTCATCGATGAAAAAAATTTTTTTTTCCACCATAATTTTTATTTTTAAATATGAAACAAATTTTATCTAAAACATTTTCATCCATCCCTTATATTTTAAAAGGTAGACGCGATTGTTCGATTCCACCCCTCAATATATCTCCGCGCTGAGAACCTCTATAGAGAGTATACTCTATACTATAGATATCTAACAGTTAGATGATTATTGCGATTCGATGAATTGAGATTTGATGAATAAATAAGTCCAATTAGGACATTTTTTTTCGCAAATATTTTATACAATTCAACCAATTTCATTTTTTTGGGAAATGTTCGTCTCATTGTACTCGACATAGATAATTTTATATGATAGAGCATTATTTTACTGAGCAGTTTTGGTAAAAAACAGAAAAATTGAAATATCTTGAAAAATTTGAATTAACCGGTATATATATTTTGATTGCTCCTTATAGTTGACATCAAGACAAATACGTTGAGAGGGAAAAGAATCATATCGGTTGGATAGTTTTTGAGAAATTCCAGAAATTAGATCTAGAAAGAAATGAGAATTTCTCAAAAATGGCTGGATTGATTGGGCTGAAATTTGGCACACAGTAGTCATTAATAACTACCATTTGACGAAATAACAAATTTTTCTGAATTTTTTGAGCCGGTTAATTCTAGAATTTTCAAAAACGTGACCAGCAGATGGATATCCGTACATACACACGGGGGGATCAAACTTTTTATTTTTACGTTACAAGCCGTTTTACATCGTTTCGAAGCGAAATTAAAAAATCGAAAAATGGATCGATTGCAATGCTTCCATTCGGAAGCAAAAAGGAGTTACATTGGCCCACTTCTTTTCAAGATATAAAATATATATCTTTTTATAGATATAAAAAATCGAATATCTTCGGAACTACTGGGCTGATTGGGCCCAAATGAAATTAGAACCGTCGCTATCAAAGAATG